GGCTTTGTTGCATTTATGCAACAGTCATGACACTTTATTATTATTTTTGCATTTTAGACTTTTAAAAATAATTCTTGAGGGGTAAAAAAGTGAGCACACATTACCCTCCCACAGTATACACAATAGTAAAAGAGACACTCACCCTCATTCCTCCTCTTTTGTCTCTGCGAAGAGCAGCTTCTTTTGCTCTGTCTCTGTCCGCTTGTGTCGTCATCTGATTTGCGACATTTGTCTCCTTCAGGATTACTCCTCTTTTACGCAGTTCAATCTGTGGAATTTACAGAGTTATCACCTCAAACAAAGAAAGCAGAGTCACCTGTTTAGAATAAGCATGATCCTGTTGTGAGACCGCACCTTTGAGGAATCCTGTCCTTGGGTAAATATGGTGGGCACCGCATCCTCTCGGAGAAACTGTTTGCCATTGTAGTCTCTGAAGCAGTCTGGCCTAAAGTGCTCCGAACACAGGCAAGTGTTGGCCGTTGGGATGAAGTTTTTCATCCCAAGGCTGTGCACCCATTTGCTGGCGAGTTGAGGCTTGCTAAGAGGAAACCTGACACACAAGAAAGAGAAGAGATGCTCCAAACCCTGAATGCTCCAGTCTGCATGCCCTAGTATTCCTAAGCAAGATACTGAACCCTGAGTTGCTCTCAAAGTGTGAATGTTAATCCAACACTTTTCCTGGCTTAAAACGAATATTTGGTGATTAACCACAGATGTAAAGAAATTATGGTTCAGCAAAGGTAATTTGGTAGTCTGGGGATGCCCCCCTGCCTGTTGAGAGTTCTGGTGTCAGTTGGAGGCAGTCTACAAAGTATAGGAGCAAAAGCAAAGGTCACTCTTGTAAATGGTAAATGGACTGGTTCTTATATAGCGCTTTTCTACTCTTCTGAGCACTCAAAGCGCTTTATACAACTTGTGCATTCACCCATTCACACCCATTTGCACAAGCACATTTGTCTAAGTGCTTTTTTTAGCTAAAATATTCACACACATTCATACTCTGATGGATGCATCGGAGAACAATTTGGGGTTAGTATCTTGCCCAAGTGTGGAAGTTCTAACATACAAAGAGCTGAACTGAAAACGAATGTTAGAAACAATGAGCCCCAAGTCTCCACTGCAGTCACTGGCTGAGCTTTTCATGCTGTATATTTTGGATCTTTCAAGTTTTGTGGGGGACTTTTGCTAATCTTTCCAGCCCACCTGTCAACCAGTCGTTCATTTCCAGCTACGTGCAGTTACAATCTAGGAGGACTGCAAGAAACGTGCACGCAGAGGGACGCATTTGCAGGACCATAAATTACACTTAAGCATGACCAGTCATCATGTACAGTGCAGAGTCAGCATTGCCCTACTTAACAGAACCTCCTACAGTTTCCTCTCATCTTTTGCCAACTGAATAAGTTAAATGATAAGATAACTTTCCTTTGGTGAACGGCCAAAACCTCAAAACTCTGGTCTACATGGACTTGTTTTACATGCAAGGAAATTCCAGATTATGTTTTACAAACCTGTAAACTATATCTTTGCTTAAAAGCAGATACTGACCGAGGCATCAACGAGTGACCACATTTATTACAGTAACATTTTATCAAGCTACCAAATTATTGTCAACTTACCTTCTATTCACTTCTGAAAGCCTTATGTGCAACCGGAATTTGTTAAATATGTTTATTGGTGTGCTGCATTAACATATCAACACCGTGTACATGAACATAAGCCGTAACCATAAGCAACTAGCTTTAAGTAGATACTCTTCCTTCAAGAAAACGAAGCTTGAAAAATCAGGAAAGCGGTGAAGTAACTTGCCCAGAAAAAGCCATTACGTTGTACCGGTGTGGTGTCGTGGTGCACCACGACGCCACACCGGTACAACGTAATGGCTTTTTTAACGTTAGCTAGCTCTGTGGAGCTAATGCTAAGCTAAACCAAGGCAGCTTTTCTTGAAGCTAATGTCCAAACCTTTTAATGTTGCATTCAATCTTGGGGCCATCTTAAAGCGACTGAAAACACACGCACACCAACGCTGTGCAACAATACCGTTGCAAGCTAAAGAGAAACTTTAGCTCCTCCGCTGCACAGAAAGCTTACCTGTAAAATCTTATTTCCGACCCTTTCACAAACTTATTGTTGCATCCTGTTGCCGCACATATAACGGGCATAGTGACTCTCCTTTTTTCTTCTTTTTGTCTGAACTATATGACAATACGAATGAAAAAACAAAACAACAGCAGTTTACAAACTTCCTTTCGCCGTCTTCTTCGGCCAAACTACTCGTACTTCTGATTAAGCTTCCTGTTTCCCATTGGAAGAGTCTGCCCTCTGGCGGCGGTTCATGATATTCACATAAATGTAAAACACTGGAAAACAGTCATGAACATGATTGATTTATGCACAATATGAATGGGATGGGAAACAAACTTTGACAGGCGGTCATTGGGCTCAAGTTACGTTGATATTCTAAATAAAATAAAATACAATAAAAATAGAAAACACACATGCATGTATCACTCAGAGGAATATAGTCACAGCTCGAAAAGTGCAAAAATATCTGTCTTAGATTGCAGACACAATGCAAGAGACTAATGGGACAAACATCCAAAACATTTTCTGTAGGTGCAGAAGTGAATCAATGAATTCACCACACACACTAGAACTGTTGACAGCGAGTGCAGAATATCCTTAACAACACATTTCCATTTGTTTTGCAATTTTCAATAACGGCTGTGCTTACAGACTAGCGGAACAAGCTGATGAATGACCTCTTATTCCAAAAGTCTGACCCATCCACTATGTGTCCTCCTCAGTCATGTTGGTTACCATGTTAACCAAAAAATTGAAATGACTTTGCCCTGCAATGACTTACGAGTGATATGGGTGTTTTTGATAACCAAATTGAGCAAATAAGTGTTACTTATAAGTCAAAGTATAACAGTGGAATTGAGCTGAGCAGGCGCAGTGACTTTATTGGGCATGTTGTAACTCTGAACACTGTCTACATACGCTGTATACACTGTGCATACAGAAGGGCGACAATAAAGGGAAACTAGAATACAGGGCTATTTAAGTAGGGTTACAAAGCAAAAATCCCCCAAAGATGGGTGCTCATTTAAAAGTTCAGTGGACCAGAAATAAAGCCTGGTGTACTGAGATGGATGCTGAATACTTGATCACTTCAGCTAGGGGACTTGTGGGTTATTTTACTGGTGTGATATGACCTTCACAGTCACAGAAGGTGGGGCTCATAGGAAATCACAAATAAAATGAGTATAGAAAACTGGTATAGAAAACATCGGGCATGGCTTTCACGCTCGTGTGCAGCCTTGTGTCCTATTACAGATTTATTATGAGAAAAATGGAGGGTCATGAAACTTTGTGCTGGATTATGGAAAAGAAAGTGTAATAAGAAAGGGAAAATAGAAGTATGTATAAAGTCTGTGATCCATCCAATTTCTGTAAAATGTACAGGGATAGACCTCATATTTTCTCAGAGTCTTACACATGTATAAGCAGGTGCATACGGTATAAAGATGGACTATACATTACAGCAGCAACCAATACAAACACCAGGTTCCCTCTACAAATTCATCTTCTTCTCTACCTTTCAGCTGCACCCTTTAGGGGTCATCTGCTTCCATCTCACCCTCTATCTATCCTCCTCTGTCACACCAACTTTCTGATGTCCTCTTTCACTAAATCCATGAATCTTCACTGTGGTTTTCTTCTTTTAATTCTGTCCAGTAGCTTCATATTCAGCATCCTCTGTTCAACATTTCCACCATACCTCCTCTGATATATCAAAACCATCTCAGCCTTGCCTCTCTAACTTTCTCTCCAAACTGCTCAACCTGAGCTGTCCCTCTCATTTCTAATCTCATCCATTCTGGTCACTCCCAGAGAAAATCTGAACAGCTTCAGCTCGGCCTCCTGTCTTTTTGTGAGCACTACCATCTCCAAACCATACCTCATATCAGAGCTTATTACCATGTTATAAACCTCCCCGTTCACACTTGCTGCAGTCCTTCTGTTATTAGGTTCCCTGTAAATTTCTCACAGTTTGCAGCATCATCAACCAAGGCGCATCTTACATTATTACAATAATTTATCGGTGTCATATAGATGGTCCAAATTCAACAATTTCATTTCATTTTAGTTGATTATGAAATCATGAATAAATTCCTAAAGCACAAAAAAAGAAAAAGGAAAAAGGGGAGACTGAATATTATTTAAGTATAATTTAAACGACTTTTGTTTTTTTTTTCTGTATGTAAATAAATAAATAGGACCTCAATTAAATGTATATATTTTTTTTAAAAAAAATCTGTGTTCTAAAAGGCTATAATTCTAAACAAGTGGGCCCTGTGGCCGATTAATGTGCTGGGGCTTTCCGCGCCTGCAAGACCAAATCCGGGATAGAGAAGCCCCCGGCCCCGGCCCCGGCCCCCTCTGCCTGATGAAACCTGCTTCCTGCTGCGACAGCCGCAGCCGGAGCTCCCCGGGGCCGCTGGATCACATGATAGAACGACACTGGCTAGCGAGCTAACATGTTAGCTTATGTTGTTAAAGCCCTTGCCAGGAATCGCACACGGACGCAGTAGCCCGACTAACAAGCAGCCCCAAAGTCCTTAAGTCCTCGGTGAGTCTAAAAACGCAGCTCTGTGTCATTTTTGAACGTTTTTATTGACCCAGAGACGTTAACTTAGCCAAGCTAGCTAAGTTAAACTTGTTTATAGGAAGTTCGTTTGGTGTGCGGGGCTTCTCGGCTAACGTTAACGATACTGGCCTTGTGTGGCTCGATCAAGAAGCTAATCTCACCTAAACACCTGGTTGTTTTGCTTTAATAGCAGTGTTGATGGCATGTTTACCGTTTAACGTATGTCGGTGTAAGCTGGCTGATGTTTACAAGCGAAACTTGAGGCTAGCTGTGTGCGTTTGTTTGTTACTACTTGAGTGGCATTAAGCTTAGTTAACTAACTAACTAACTAAGCTAATGTTAGCAGCAAATCTGCGGTCAAAACGGCCACATCACAGTATACCGGTACTGTCAAAACGATACTTGTCATACGTGTTAATTGTTTTCACTTGCGCTTTCAAGTGCTCCTACTATGGTTGCAAAGGGCGAAAAAACAAAAAACTAATGGTACTACTACTAAAGCTACCTTAGCTTGACAAGCCAGGCAGGCTGTTTACTCCCTCGTCCCTATATGTGCTTGTTTTCAGTGTGAAAACCCTTTGATGCACCTGCCCCACCCGTTTCACTTGTTTTTCCTGACAAGTGCTGTGTGCAGAGGTGACATCTGTTGCACCTGCTATCACAGCGGGGTGCATCACATCTTTATCACATCTTTATCACATCTTTATCATATCTTTATCATATCTTTTAGTTCGGTGACCTGACTTAATTCCCAACACGGCTCCACCAAAGATTACTCAGAAGAGAAGTATCGAGGCTAAAGAAGTGAAAACATCTGGGTGGATCTGCAAGTGAATACACTTCTTCTATTCTTCTTCCACCACATTGTGTGTGTGTGTTTGTCTGGGAACATTGATTGGTTGTGGAATCTGTGATCCCTGAAAGCACTGACTCTTTCCTTTCACATCAAGATGTTGCTGAGTGCAGTAATCCATTTCTGCTTCACCGTAGAGAGTTGCATCCGTTGTTACTCTGAGAAAGGGATGTTTCCCAGTTGTAGTCATGCTGTCTTCGGACACTGGATTCGCACCTTCTCACGCCGTGTTTTCTCACATTCAGTCTTGCCCGCCACTCTGGCTGCTGACACGCGCAGTAATTTGAATCTTTCTCAGCAGCTTTGTTTGCATATTACTTCTCAGTTCACAATCACTGAAGACTCAGAAAGCCCATAATGAACACGGACATTTTTATTAGGGGTTTTAAACTTAAATATGACCAAATGAACAATTTGTTTTCTACATTTCTACTATTTAGTTATCTGACTGGCACATGCAAAAATACTAGTTGCTAAATAATCACACAAGTTTTTTTTATAAAAGCCTAATTTTGACGCCCATCAATTTTATTTGGCCTCAAATTGTTTATTAAAGAGCAGACTGATGTTTGACTTGCTGGAGTGTAAATGGAGAACAGGTCCTTTCTCTGTTTTTTTTCTCTGCATTTTATAATACTGACTCTAGATTGATCATCAACTATAAAAGATTATGATGACCAAACCAGGTACAAATCATTATAAGAACTGCATTTAAGTTGTTACTGATGGGCGATTTTAGAGTTGCATCGATTCTTTGTTTCTTTTGTGTTTGTTTGTTGGTGCTCTCATTTAATTTCCAACAGTCTGTGGAAACATGGTCAAAGGTGACTGACTGATAAGTTGCAGGGGACATTGGACTTTATCTGCGAGACAAGAGCGGGGATGACTTAAGGTCACATGCAGATAGGAATTGTTACAGCAAAAGACTGTTAATTCACACGAGAGACCACGATGCCCTCGATCATCGTACATTTTAACTAGTAAATCAACGAAGCTTAGACTTGTATGACCAGAATAACACATCATAATCAACATATTCTGAATATCATTCGTTTCAAACCTCAAACCCCCAGGTTAGGCGTTTTTGTCCTTAATGAAATGACCCTGAATTGAATAAGTGGAAGAAAATATATGGATGAGTGATAATTCACTGTTTTATGTTAGAAAATATTTTTTTCTAATAAGCTGTGTGGCATTTTTGTGAGGAAGGTTTAGAGTGGTGAGAGAGAGGACAAGTAGATGCTATGTTTTGACAGAACTGGAGAAAAATGGAGTAAGAACCTTGTAAAGATTGAAAATGGGTGGCTCTAATACTTGGAGAAAAAGAATCGAACACCACAACCCTGTGTGCATTTAAGAGCTGTGCAAATGACCAATAGTAACCTATGGTGTTCCCTCTTTCACCTCCCTCCCTCCTCCCCGTCTCTCTGTGTGTTTTCCCTCCTGTCTCCCATAGGGCATTGTAGAAAGGGACTTGTCTTCTTTCGTACTTGCCCTCTTCGAGATATCAAGTCATTAAACTTCTGCCCAACAAGTCACAGGGGTTTTGGCATCCTTTTAAGGATCATCAGGCGAGCTAGTCCTTAGCATCACCGCAGAGATATCAGCAGGCTGTTGTGGACTCTAATGGGAAAGATGGATAGGCGATAAATAAGACACCAGATTCTGAGGTAAGGTCATTCCACCACTGTGCCTGTCACAGTCGGTCTTGCAGTTCAATTCTAGCTGATAAGGGCTTTGAGTCAAAGTGTCGTTGACCTTGTTTTTCTTTATCATCAAAC